GCAGGAATAAAAGGGTTGTCTACCGGTGACAGGGCAGCAACATTGAATAAAACAGGCAAGTGATCTGAAAACTGAGTCACATATTTCTGTAATGGAAACAGGCAGTCCATGATAGATCACAAGGTCCAGTGTGTGTCCGAGCTCATGTGTAGGTCCATGCACCGACTGAGTGAGATTAGAAGAGTCAATAATATTTAAAAAGTCTTTGGCCAATGGGTCATCAGGACAACAGATGTGAATGTTAAAATCACCAAGTATTAAAAGCTTATCAAACTTTGGCAGGATAAAACCCAAGAGGTCAGAAAACTCCTGAATAAAACCCTTGTTGAATTTAGGAGGATGATAAACCACTGCACACAGCAGAGGATAAGAGAGCTCTATCACAAATAGCTGTAGCTCGAAAGTGGAGTAGGAGTCCACTGTGAGCTGCTGACATTTAAAACTGTTTTTAAAAACTGACGCCAGGGCGCCGCCCCATCCGAAAGACCATCCAGACTGATCAGCGAAAGGTGCAAAAGTCACCATCTGTGATAGTATGGGGGTGCATTAGTGCCCATGGCATGGGTGAATGCTTATGTGTGAAGGTACCAATGATGTGGAGGATATATTGGGATTTTAGAGAGACATGCTGCCATCAAGGCGCAAAGTCTGTTCCCAGGAACTGTGTATATACACATGTGTATATGTCCTCACTAGGGGTGCACCGAACTTTCGGCCACCGAAAAGGCCATTTCTATTTCGAGCCGGAATAAAAAAAACACGCCGAAAATGCCCCGCCCAGCACAGGTTAAGTTTCACTCATGCTGGAGCTGTTATATCGCGCGTCTCCCCATCAACGACAAAGCATTTCAGCTGTATGGAAGCATTTCGAAGTTTCAGGTGAGGACACCAAAGTTGCAATATGCAACATTTGTTCTGCGAAAATATCAAGAGGAGGTACGGTGCCAAAGAACCTTTCGACAACAGGTTTGATACACCACCTGAAAACACGACATCCAATTGAATATGAGGAGTACCGCAAAACAACATTGGTTAAAATTGCCCCAACTACATCACAAATACCCTCGGTCGCCACATTCTTTGAAAAAACTAAGAAATTTGCAGATGATGGTCCCAAACTGAGAAAGTAACGGAATTCATTGGCTTAGACGACCAGCCCTTTTCTGTCGTGGAGGACATTGGATTTTGTAGGCTCATACAACATATTGAACTGCGTTATACACTGCCAAGCAGATGCTATTTTGCAGAAAAATGTCTACCTGAAATGTATGACCGAGTTGCAAAACACGTCCACAAGCTCATTACCACGGACATACCAAGTCTAAGTTTTACCACAGACATTTGGAGCTCAGACGTTAGACCAACTAGCATGTTTATATATATATACTGTAGTGATCCTTCACTTGGCATGTTATTATGTTCTAAATTGTTATGGTTACTTGATGGGTGTGGAGCTTCAGGGGTTAAGAGGTGTGAGAGCGGTCGGTGCATCACTAGTCCTCACAAATTAACAATGAAATCAATTGACATTGGTCACCAACAATTAAACATTAAATGCTTCATACAGTTATTGCATTGAATCATTATGTTATTGCATCGTTATATTGTAAGCGGTTTCCTCTTTTTTTTTGATGAACAGGAAAGGGTGTTATTGTTTTTGTTGGGGTCCCTAGTTGAAACAGGGTGTGTGTGTTTTCTAGGTCAGCCCATCAATCCTCAGTGCCGTATCTACCCTGAGGAGATGATCCAGACTGGCATTTCAGCCATTGATGGTATGAACAGCATCGCCAGAGGACAGAAGATCCCGATTTTTTCAGCTGCTGGACTGCCCCACAATGAGGTGAGGCCGCCAAACATGTTTATTTCAATAGAGTTGCACAAAAAAAATCCTCTGATGCTCTATTACCTGCATCCTGAGAATAGTTTCTGAATATCAGGAGATTAGAATCATGTGTTCACCAATATAAAAATGAAAATGACAGAAATTAATGGTTGATATTAAAGTAAAAGAAAGGCTTCCAACTTAATATCTGAATGGTTTTATGTGCCAATAAATGAGTAGTTGTGTTCTTTGTTTGTTTAGTAAATTCTTAGTTAAAGGTGGACTCCACTCATTTTACTCAGAATTTGCTGGGGAGTGCTGTTGCAAAAGTAGGAAAGGTTTAGCCTTTAGTGGCCCCAGAGGAGTTATATTTGATAAATGTCCTGAAGTGTGTGTCAGCTGAGGCTGAACTCTACAAGTTTTGAAGAAAAAAAATTAATATAATAATAATAAAAACAAAGCATGCTTACAAAATGCAGTGTAGGTTGTCCGTGCAGATTCTCAGTCATCCAGGTCATAGTAAGTTGAACAAACTTAGAAAAATCAACTGGACTACGTTTTTAGGTCGAAGACGTTTCACCTCTCATCCAAGAGGCTTCATCAGTTCTGACTGACTGGTGTTGAGCCGGAGATATTTATCCCCCTCTGTGGTGTTTCAGTCCTTTGAAGGCCAACAATGTCCCCTAAAGACTGAGTCGTTATAGCCCAGTATCCATGAGCGTTGCTACCTGTCTTTGAATCGTCCCCTGTCGACCGACGCCTATTGTCCTGGTGGGCATGTTTTGGCAGAGATCTCAAAACAGGACTGTTGATGGAAGACAAGTTGTGTCTTAGTCCACCACCCGTATTTAGTGAGGGGTGTTCTAGTTGGACAAGAATAGCTTCCTTAATTCCTCTCTCAAACCAGCGATGTTCTCTGGAGAGGATCTGGACTTCACTGTCCTCAAAAGAATGTCCTTTGTCCTTCAGTTGGAGGTGGACTGCTGATTCTGGTCCACTGGGGTTGGCCATGCATTTGTGCACCAATGTACAATGTTTAGTTTCATCAATGTACAAGTCGTTACACTCCTGACTACACTGCATAAACCACATTACTCTGTTTATGTCTGGGTGTTTTGTCCTTCAGGTGAACCAGTCTTTGCCGCAGGGTGTTCCCTGGCTTAAAGTTGACTGGGATATTGTGGTTGTGAAAGATCCTTTTTTTAAACTTCTCTGTTAACCCAGCCACATAAGGGATGACAGTGTTATCCCCTCTTGTTTCTGGTTTCTCCCTGTTGGTGTTGGGCCTCTTCCTTGCTTTGGTGAAGGCCCACTTGGGGTATCCACAAGCCTTTTAAGGGAGTTCTGGATGTGTAGTTTCTCCTTCTTGGCCCCTTCTGCAGTTGTGGGAACTTAGATCGCAGTCTCACCTAGATCGTTTGGGCATTGCTGACAAATTTCAGTCAGGTTTTAAGGCCCGCCATAGTACAGAGTCTGCTTTGCTGAGGGTGCATAATGACATCGCCATGGCTCTTGACGCCAAGTGCCCTGTTATTTTAGCTTTACTAGACTTATCGGCAGCATTTGATACTGTTGACCATGAAGTTTTATTATTTACACTGGAACACCTTGTTGGGCTGAGGGGCACGGTTTTAATTCTTTCTTGAGAAATAGAACTTTTTTTGTCATTATTGGTGATTTTTCCTCTGATACAGCCCATCTTACCTCTGGCATCCTATAAGGGTCGACCTTGGCACCTTTACTTTTCTCTTTATATATGTCACCATTGGCGTCAATTATATCCAGGCATAATGTTCATTTTCATTTTTACGCGGATGACATTCAGATTTATATGCCACTGGTATTATCCGACCCACATGCATTTACTCCACTGTATGACTGTATTCGGGATATCAAGATTTGGCTTGCTCAGAATTTTTTTTATTTAAATGAGAATAAGACTTAATATACAGGTGCAGCTCAATAAATTAGAATATCGTGGAAAAGTCCATTTATTTCAGTAATTCAACTCAAATAGTGAAACTCGTGTATTATATAAATTCAGTACACACAGACTGAAGTAGTTTAAGCCGTTGGGTTTTTTAACTGTGATGATTTTGTTCACATTTAACAAAAACCCACCAATTCACTATCTCAATAAATTAGAATACCTCATAAGACCTATAACTTAACATTTTTAGTGAATTGCTGGCCTTCTGGAAAGTATGTTCATTTACTGTATATGTACTCAATACTTGGTAGGGGCTCCCTTTGCTTTAATTACTGCCCCAATTCGGTGTGGCATGGAGGTGATCAGTCTGTGGCACTGCTGAGGTGGTATGGAAGCCCAGGTTTCTTTGACAGTGGCCTTCAGCTCATCTGCATTTGTTGGTCTCTCATTTCTCATTTTCCTCTTGACAATACCCCATAGATTCTCTATGGGGTTCAGGTCTGGTGAGTTTGCTGGCCAGTCAAGCACATCAACATCATGGCCATTTAACCAACTTTTGGTGCTTTTGGCAGTGTGGGCAGGCACCAGATCTTGCTAAAAAATGAAATCAGCATCTTTAAAAAGCTGGTCAGCAGAAGGAAGCACGAAGTGCTCTAAAATGTCTTGGTAAATGGGTGCAGCGACTATGGTTAGCAAAAACCACAGTGGACCAACACCAGCAGATGGTATTGCACCCAAAATCATCACAGACTGTGGAAACTTAACACTGGACTTCAAGCAACTTGGGCTATGAGCTTCTCCACCCTTCCTCCAGACTCTAGACCCCTGGAAAGACAGGGTCCCAAATTTTAAGTTTGGTCAAATACAATATTTATGACATAAATGCTCCCTTCTCTTAGCTATTATAACATGTATATTTTCCTGTCTGCCTTGATATTGTCTCATGAGGTAGGGCAGTCGTCTCGTGATCAGGAAGTTGGTGGTTCGACTCCCGGTCTCCCCGCATGCCTAAGTGTCCCTGAGCAAGACACTGAACCCCGAATTGCTCCCGGTGGCTTGACTAGCGCCGGTGCATGGCAGCCTTTCGTCATCGGTGTGTGAATGTTGTGTGTGAATGGGTGAATGGTGTATGATCTTCTGTAAAGTGCTTTGGCCAGTGCAACAAACTGTGAGAAAGCGCTATATAAAATACAGTCCATTTACCATTACTTTGCTTTGAATGGTTTAAAGCACTCCCACTGGACACCCATAAAGTGTCAGACTTCAACCCCATCAATCACCATCAGTTATCTAAACATCATGATGGCAGAAAACATACATTACAGCAGTGGGACATTAAAAAAAGGAGGAGCAACACGACTGGGAGTGCCTTGAAAAATTCCAAAGTTGATCAGACATTTAAATCTCAATGGATGAGGATAAAGATGGAGATGATGCTGAGATGAATGTGGCCAAAAGTGAGTGTGTGCAGCTAGCTGAGGCTACAGCTAGTTCAGCTAGCACTGCAAATGAAGTGGACATAACCGCTCCTGAGATCCTGCTCAATAGGGACTGCTGGATGAGGCCACCCACAAATACTGGGCTTGTCAGGGGCCAAAATATGCCAGAACAAGGATGCTAATTTCCAAAGCCTTAAATAATCACCAAAATGAGAAATGATTTTAAGCTTACTTTCAAAGACTGCTCCTAAATGGTGAGTATGTGCCACAGGAATGGCTGCTTTATCCCATTTCTACTGGCTCTGTCCTTGTTTTTACTTGCTGCCTTTTGGGTGATGGCCACAGTCAGTCCTCTTTTGAAACTGGCTATAGTGAATGGTGCCATGTCAAAGATTGATTGGCTGAGCACAGAAACAGCAATAGTCATAGAAAGGCCATTTTGTGTCACATTAAAAAAAAACAAGCCATGGACAAATTGACAAAAAGTTGGAAAAAAAAACAGTTTATATCAGAATGTAGCTACATACTGGACTGATGTTTTGAAAAACATCTTGGTTGTTGTGACATTTTTTGCTAAACGTGGACTGGCTTTCTGAGTCAGAAATGAAATTTTTGGCAGACCTGACATGGGAATATTATAACTGATCAGTGAGTTCGAAAAGAAAAGAAAACCAGAAAACACACCTTCTAAAAGGTGGGGCCAAGCTAAGTAAATTAGCAGAATCAAAATCAGCTTTAATCGCCAAGTATGTTGAGCATAAAAGAAATTTCCGGCACAGAGGCTTTCAGTGTGTTTTAAGCAACTAGAAACAGCTTTCACCTCCCATTGACTTTCCTGTTTGCTTTTTCACTCGATCCACTGTCTGGATCTGGAAATTGAAAAAAGTATGCCATGTGGAGTGCTGAAATCTAAAGAGAAATGCTTTGTTATTTAGTGTTATGAGTCAGGTCATATGTGTCAGCTACAGTGCCTTGCGAAAGTATTCGGCCCCCTTGAACTTTGCGACCTTTTGCCACATTTCAGGCTTCAAACATAAAGATATAAAACTGTAATTTTTTGTGAAGAATCAACAACAAGTGGGACACAATCATGAAGTGGAACGAAATTTATTGGATATTTCAAACGTTTTTAACAAATAAAAAACTGAAAAACTGGGCGTGCAAAATTATTCAGCCCCCTTAAGTTAATACTTTGTAGCGCCACCTTTTGCTGCGATTACAGCTGTAAGTCGCTTGGGGTATGTCTCTATCAGTTTTGCACATCAAGAGACTGAAATTTTTGCCCATTCCTCCTGCAAAACAGCTCGAGCTCAGTGAGATTGGATGGAGAGCGTTTGTGAACAGCAGTTTTCAGTTCGTTCCACAGATTCTCGATTGGATTCAGGTCTGGACTTTGACTTGGCCATTCTAACACCTGGATATGTTTATTTGTGAACCATTCCATTGTAGATTTTGCTTTATGTTTTGGATCATTGTCTTGTTGGAAGACAAATCTCCGTCCCAGTCTCAGGTCTTTTGCAGACTCCATCAGGTTTCCATCCAGAATGGTCCTGTATTTGGCTCCATCCATCTTCCCATCAATTTTAACCATCTTCCCTGTCCCTGCTGAAGAAAGCAGGCCCAAACCATGATGCTGCCACCACCATGTTTGACAGTGGGGATGGTGTGTTCAGGGTGATGAGCTGTGTTGCTTTTACGCCAAACATAACGTTTTGCATTGTTGCCAAAAAGTTCGATTTTGGTTTCATCTGACCAGAGCACCTTCTTCCACATGTTTGGTGCGTCTCCCAGGTGGCTTGTGGCAAACTTTAAACGACACTTTTTATGGATATCTTTAAGAAATGGCTTTCTTCTTGCCACTCTTCCATAAAGGCCAGATTTGTGCAGTATACGACTGATTGTTGTCCTATGGACAGAGTCTCCCACCTCAGCTGTAGATCTCTGCAGTTCATCCAGAGTGATCATGGGCCTCTTGGCTGCATCTCTGATCAGTCTTCTCCTTGTATGAGCTGAAAGTTTAGAGGGACGGCCAGGTCTTGGTAGATTTGCAGTGGTCTGATACTCCTTCCATTTCAATATTATCACTTGCACAGTGCTCCTTGGGATGTTTAAAGCTTGGGAAATCTTTTTGTATCCAAATCCGGCTTTAAACTTCTCCACAACAGTATCTCGGACCTGCCTGGTGTGTTCCTTGTTCTTCATGATGCTCTCTGCGCTTTAAACAGACCTCTGAGACTATCACAGTGCAGGTGCATTTATACGGAGACTTGATTACACACAGGTGGATTCTATTTATCATCATTAGTCATTTAGGTCAACATTGGATCATTCAGAGCAATGTCATGTGACAGTTTTTAAGGGTTTTTAATGCCTCACAATAGAATTTTATGTTTCAGGTGTCCTACATAAATGTGTTCTACATACAGTACCTAATATCTCATATTGTATAAAAGTTCACATGAAGTAAAACATTAAGCATTAAAAAAAAAAGATAAAAATTGCATTTTGTCTGTTTATGGTCTTAAAAAAAGCAAAATTTAAAAATTCACTGTGTTCTGGCCTTTGCTGTAGTGTCTATTTTAACCATAATGACAGAGCCAACAGGTTTATTGTGGCTAAGTGGAGATTAAATTAATGAAGATCAGGTCATACTTGCAAAACAAGTGTGATCTATTATTTCCAGCTAGATTGTCAGAATACACAAATTTAAGGAGGACCTCTCTGAAATGTTCCAAGGCAAAAATGAAATAAACAATGGCCACAAAGACAACCTTGTTGTATTATATGTGTTATACAATATTGATTGATTTTAATCTGCTGAAGCACTCCAGCACAATTGAGTTTTCTTGAGTGACAGTCCATTGGCTGTTTTTGATGCTCTTCAGTTAAAAAAGGGAATTCAGAATCCAGTGTTGACCCCTGTATACTATGTCTTCACTCCTACACTCCTTTACACATCAGTGCTCAGGGACAACATTTAATACTGTTAACCTTCTCACAATACAAAACCATTGCCAGGCAGTAACAGCATTGTATTGCTTTGTGTATTTTAGGAGATATTTTAATATACACTGAAACCTTATTTTTAAGTGTTTATTGCAGCCACAAATAGAGCACCTTGACACAGTGAACAAGGTTGTGTTTAAAGCTTGTGAATGTTATTTTTTTTTATCCCACTCCATCATTGTATTTGATCCAAATGCAAGTAAAAATTAAAGAATTAAAAAAAAAAGTAAATCTAGGTTTTTTGTATATGAATAGGACCGTTAAAATTTGTATAATGAAAAATGAAATTTGGTAATAACTGGACACTTACTCTCTGTTGGCCTTTTCTTTAAGGTAGCTTATCTCACTCCCTGTTGTGCTAATGCATGAGTCCAATACTGTAGTGGAACTATTGTACCCTGTAGAGAATTCAAATGTCACAGAGGTCGTTCATGTGGTGGTTCCTCTGTGGCCCAGGCCCCTGACAGATGCACGGACTAGATCAACACAGAAGCCATGACATTGCATGACAAGCATGTAATTGCATTTTCATTCCTCCAATTAATGCGCATCTCCTTTTGCTTAATGTATTAGACCACGTTCACACTGCAGGCTGAAGTGACTCAAATCCGATCTTTTTGCCCAAATGTGACCCATATCCAATTTCCTTATGACAGTGTGAACAGCACAAATCCGATTTTTTTCAAATCCGGCCCAGGCTACTATAATATGTGGTCGTAAATCAGATACATATCCGATGTTTTGCAATGCGACTTCAGTCTGAACGGCCATGTCGCATTTCATGCGATTTTTATGTCATTGAAATGCGACAGACGTCACAATTCTACGCTGGAGGAGGCGAGGCCATAAGCAATATTTGTGCTCTCCTCTTTCTTGATGTTCTTCTTATTATTTCTTTATTTCAATTGCACATTAACTGGTACATCGCTACGCACATGCTATCATGAGCCGCATCCATTTTATTTTCACAAACACAGTATGCTGCGTCTGACGTCACGTCCTCTTCTGCGCATGCGGGTCACCTCAGGGCCGTATACCGTTCACACATGAGACAGATGGCAGTCGCATTTAAATGACAGTGTGAACAACAGCACAAAAATTTCGGCAAAAAATTCGATCTGAGCATTAAGACCTGCAGTGTGAACGTAGTCTAAGTGTCTTTAGACAAATTGGTTGTGGTTTATTGATCAACAAATGCATTAAATAATTAATGACTAGATGGATTGCCTTTTTAACATGTATGGTGATATTCTATAATTATCTTACTGTTAATCCCATGAAAAGACTAAAACCAACAATGAAGTGATCTAATAAGTGTTTTCTAAATTACACTGTAAGTGGACTGGTTCCTACCCTGGTTCCAGGCCCAGTGGTTCCCGTTGAAAATGTAAATCATTAGTTTGACTTTTAAATTAAGATCAGTTTTCTTAAACACAGACTGTATTGCGATCCGGACATATCTTCTTTCTCTGTGTCCAAAGTTCCATTGTTGCAGTATTGCATGGTTCTTTGTTGCCATGACATCACACACTGGAGTTTATTTTGACTCTGTCTCGCATACACCACCCTGTCCTCTCAGATATTTGTTAGAGGACCAAATCTGGATTACATCAGTTCTTAAAGTAATTCACAGCAGATGCACTATTTCCTTCTGTTTCAGTAACATCTCCTCAAAACTAGTGCCCAGATGTTTTAGGACACCGCTGAGTCCTTTTTAACAGATGAAACCATATACTTGTGAGGTATTTCTAGAGTTGCACCTTCAGTGTGAACCAATACTTATGAATTGTTGACGGGCCACTACTTTCAGAAGTGTTTTCCCGTTCTGTATTCCCATTTCAAAAGCTTCTTTAAACCACTTCCTCAATGTTGCCTAACAGACTTATGCGACTCTCTTGTGTGTTTTCTTGCTCCCAGATTGCTGCCCAGATCTGTCGTCAAGCTGGACTGGTACAGAAGTCCAAGGATGTGACGGACTACAGTTCTGAGAACTTTGCCATTGTCTTCGCAGCCATGGGTGTAAGCTGACAGACTGAAGCATTCAGTGGACACCTTTATTTCCCCCATCTGTGACTCTAATCCCCCTCTTAACCCTATCGTGACACTTTGTCCCTCCTCTCCCACCCTGCTCTCTGTGTTTTATTCACTAGGCGATTTAACCTTTAAGTCCCTCTTATTATTTCTGCACCTCTGAGCAAATCCCCAGGCCATGCAGGCAGGTTACTAATTCAACAGGTCCTTTAACACTGTCAGTACTACAGTATCAAGTTCTCTCCTCCTCTGCTACTCCTCGCCTGGAATATCCCATTTGTGACAGGTTGACCTATAGCAAACACACACACACACACACACTTGCTTCACTTGCTAAATGGTAATGCTTCCCTCCTCTACTTCTTTACCTGCTCACATCCCATTGTTTAAGTCTAGCAGGACAGTTGAAAATAGGGATTTGTACAAGTCAGCACATGGATATGAATTTCTTAAAAGGACAAAGCCAGACTGTAAAAGCAGTTCACCTGTTTAATGGCAGATAAGCTTAAACATGGAACCTTTTGTTTAGTAAATGTAAGATGTTGAATGTTTTTTGTAACACTGCACAGCTCGAATGCCTCTTGATCCACAGTAGTGGTTCTTCTTCTTCTTCCGCCTCCCAAAAATGTACTATTTAAAGATTTTAACATGGGCCAACATTTCACTAACACATAAAACACATCACAGAAATATCCTGAAAATATGTGTATTGTGACGGTGTGTTCAGATTTGACTGAGTTGTCATGAATACCAAGCAAGGCAATTTTAATGCAAATTATGTAAAATAGGCTCAAACCCCTTGAAAACCTCTTTTGTAATAGATACATAAAGACTGTAATCTTATATATTGGTGTTTCGTTTATTTTTTGCAAGCATGTATTTGTTTTGAAGAACAATGAACTGTGAGTATACAGCTTTACATAAATATAGTCTTTAGAAAATGAAACTTAGGACACACAATGGTTGCATCAGTATACAATGTGAGTCTACTGTATCTGTCTGTGATAACATAAAAATATATAAATTTATTAGAACTGCTTCTCATAACAGTAATCCAAGTCTTTATGCCCAATTTCAAATGTGTATGTTTTATTTTTTTCAGCTTTTCAAAATATATATTAACTCAGTCTGCATGGCTTACAGTAAATATTAATATTCATTCTGATTCTCTGTACAATCCATCCATATCCCTTTACCTGGTTCATAAAGGGACCCCCACACACTGTCAACACCTTTTAGCTTTCTTTCTGGTGGGAAACTAAGCCAACACATTTAATGTATATTTTTATTATACTGATTTATCATTAGAGGAATTACATAAGTTTGACTTAACCGGTGACAGTATATTGCAGATCATACATATTTCATGTCTTAAAATACTTATATTTAATGTTCTATCAAAACAATTTCAGATCTTTCACCTAAGGTCCCTCAGTATCACTAACATTAACATTTGTTTCTTAGGTCAATATGGAAACTGCTCGTTTCTTCAAGTCTGATTTTGAGGAGAATGGCTCCATGGACAACGTCTGCCTTTTCCTGAACCTGGCCAATGACCCCACGTAAGATTGAGTCAGAAATGATTTCAGTACTGTATGTAAAAGCAGAGATGATGTTTACGAATGTAAAATGTTGGGCCAATCTCTTGACTAATTTTGCCTTTGCTGTGAAGGGCTACTGTAGTAAACAGCTGCAAATCTTTTTGTGTACATTAAAATCACTTTCTCTTTTTGTTTCTGTAATCAATCAGCATCGAGCGTATCATCACTCCTCGTCTGGCGCTGACTACAGCAGAGTACTTGGCTTACCAGTGTGAGAAGCATGTGCTGGTCATCCTGACTGACATGAGCTCCTATGCTGAGGCCCTGAGAGAGGTACGACTACCAGCTCACCTATCTTAGACATGTTGGCTAGACTGTTGACAGTTTCACATGCACCATCTGACTTTTTTTTGTTTTTGTTGGAAGAGGGTGAATATATAAGTACCAAGTCTCCTTACAACAATTCTCTCTGTTACACAAACAAGGTATTAACAGACACACAACGTGTGATGTTTTTATTATTATTATTATTATTATTTTTAAACTTACCATTAAGTCCCACTGAGTAGTGGAAACATCACTCCCTGTCAAGTAGCTCCAAGATCAGTAAATCCAACCGGTGGTCACTGTCTTCTCCCACATGACCAGGGTACTGTGCTCATGGTGGCAGTGTGGTGTTAACATGGAGCCCTTGGTCCTAGGCATTATTTTAAACCAATCATGATAAAACCAAGTGAGATGCTTCATTTTCAAATTTTGCTGCTATAAATGTACAAATAAATAGTGACTGCTGCCGAATATAAGGATGTTCCCTCGGCTCAACATTTCAGCTAATCACGTGTCTCAGTGAGCCAGCTCTGTTGAAGGAGGAGCTGGGCCCCACTAGCCCTGGCAATTACTAGTAGTTGCTATATTTAATTACTTAGGTTTATTTACAATGCTGGTATTTTTTTATTAGTTATTCACTTAATGGGAGAAAACTGGTTCAAAGGGTTTTCATTTTCTGATGGTATTTGTGTCCCATCAGCTACACAAACACCCAGGAGCCAGCTATCTCCATGGGTCTGCAAGGTGGGAACCTACAGTGGAAATGAAATGTAATATGTCACAATAGGAGATGTGAAAGCGCTGTAAGAGTCTGTGATTACTCTGCTGCTGATGGGAGGTTGTGACAGGGCTGTTTCATTTTTCAATTGTTGCATTGTAATGTTGTGATCACTTTCATTTCTTGCTTTATGGCATTATTGCATTGGGTAGGGGATGCAAGCACATCTCTAATGAGATGAACCATAACCATCATCAATGTACAGTCTTATCTGTAGCCTGTGATTGACTGTTGTTTGGCGTTTGGAGAATATTTCTTGTATTTCTTTGTTTTTCCATCTTTTTATCCTCTGCTTATGAAACTCTTGAGGCTCTTAAAAGTCCTCCTCTCTACTCAACAGTTTTCACCTTCGGTGCCTCCTTAGAGACTGAGATGCTTTGTTAATAACTTTCATCATTACTAGTGTTTAGTCTTAACTTAAGGGAAATCATTAGAAAACATCACAATTCTAAGAATTTTGTTAGAATTTCATCACAAGGAACAACTCTTTGGACTTAGGGTGCTTTATGAATACGGGCCCTGAGCTGTTAAGGTTTCTCATTTTAACACTTGATAGTTTAGGTTCTTGTAATTACTTTTACTGCTTCTGAAAGGATTAAAAGATATATCTTTATAAAAATATTTTTCCTAAGGTCAACAAATTTCTTTAAAACACAAAAACCAACTATTTATTAGTTTGACTCTTAGTACTCTAACTTCCCTACCATAGTCCTCAAGCCCACTGGTACTTAAAATGACTCAAATCAGCTCAGACTTATTCAGACTGGACCTGGGCCACTTCCTTATGTGGTCCTAGATCCCATTCATATCTGTTATTTGACCATACAATTGCTGTCAGAACAGTCAGTGTGGAATTGATGTGGTGGTGTTTTTTTTTTTCTCTCTCTCTCATGTTTCACTCCTTGGCACATACGGCCTGTTGTCATCGTTCAGTGCCTGCTGCTCTCAGGGTGGTACACGTAAACACAGTGACAGGGGTCAGTGTTGAGATGAAGACGTTTAACATCTGTTTGACATTTTTTGGAGAAACTAATGATCAAACCTCAATGGAAGGATCATATTGTAACAGGGCAGTTTTTTGATGAAATTGCACATTTTGACTCTCATGCAAATTATGTTGTTGTTCTTGTACATCAAATCAAATCAATTTAATTTATTTAGCACTTTAAAAACAACATCCAGTTGACCAAAGTACTTTATATGGCAGAATAAAATCACAATAAATAACTAAAATAGAATACATTAGATCAGTGTAAAAAATAAAACGGCACAATAACACAGACACAGATGTACATGTGCAGCTCACGCTTCAGTTAAACCTGTACATACATGGCAGTTTAGGAACTCAGTGGTATTCAAATCAGAGCTGGACATGTCACTTACAAACATGAATGTGAACCGTCAACACAAAAAGATTGGATCTAGCAACAAGGTCAAAATTAAGCATTAAGGCCTGTAATGTGAATGGAGCTTTAGAAAGGATGTAAATCTTTAAATGTGGCTCACAAATAAATAATTTCATTTTTTTAAAGGCTAAGTAATATATTAAAACAGCTGGTTAATAGTTTTTATTAAGCATTGCTCAAACAGGAAGAAATTGTGCATTAGTTGTGATATATTCATCAGCAGACTAATGCACATTCTGTGCGTTAACTCCGCTGGGTATTTGAGTCAAAATAAACTTCAGGATATGTGTCGTCGTTGTAGGCTGTATATTTCTGGATCATCTGTCTGCACGTCCATCTGGCCGATTCTTGGGAATGCATTATCTCTGGAATGCCTTGAGGATACCTTGATACACTGCTTGGACTCGAGGATAAAGTGATTAGATTTTGGTGGTCAGAGGTCGAGGTCACACTGACCTCATGTCCTTCCAGTCCTTTATTGTGAACACGATATCTTAAAAACACCTTGAGGGAACTTTGACAAATTTGGTGTAAATGTCCACTTTGACTTGAGGATGAAACTATTAGATTTTGGTGGTCACAGGTCAAAGATCGAGGTCACTGTATCCTCATGTCTGCCTGTCAGATTACCATGAATTTGACTGGTTGGCAGAGGCATACAACCACGAACCTCATATAGCAAATATAGCAAAACCACAAAGCATGAATTGTGGTTTTTCCTATATTTCAAGATTTTTTCTTAGTGGTCACTTTAGTTCAGTGATACATGACTTTTACACTCATTTTGTGCTATTTATTGTCTTATTGTCACTGTTCAGCTTTTTTAATACTGTAGACTTACTACATGTCCAGTATATTCAGTAATATTTTCAGGGTATAGTGTATGTATACTGAATCCTCTGCAGCACCAGAAGCAACAAACTGTGTGGCATAATGCAACAGTATAAATAGTGTAGAGCATTAGCACAAAGGTGATAGACTCACAAAAGTCTTGATGAAAGGGAGGATAATGTGTCCTTCATTCCTGTAGGAAATACCTTAACTTCATTATGGTCTGCTTGGCTTTAAAAGGAAATGGTCCTCCTCCCTGCCCCTCCACCCACTGGCCTCCTTTTTCCTTGTGGTGAGGAGGAAGGTCCTCTTGACTCACTCTTTTGCCTCCCTGTAATAATCCTTTTATGTTGTACAGTTTGCTGTCTCAATATGCTGGCAACACAGTGCAGGTTTTTAAATAGTGCATGTGTGTTTTCCCATCCCACATTTGCTGTCCATAACCTTGGCACATGCACGCTGCACCAATTGTCAGATAAGACTCTGGCAGATTGATGAGTATTTCAGCATGTACAAAGAGCCAGGAGGACATTAACATTTAACTTCTGTTCTCATTGATGCTTGAAGGTTTAGTTTTGCATTGAATCTACAGTTCACAAGTGTTTAGCCTGCCTGTCAACCTTTGAATCTAAAGAAGAATGGGATGCATTTTCTTTCCTGCTTGCTCTGAATTCACTTGACTCTGGGAACAAGGATTTGCTTTTGGTCATTTTTGTAGAAGGCCTGAAAGCAGAATAGCCATATTTCCAACCAGCTGTCTGCCTCTTCTGAAAGACTGAAAGACATTGAAGGGTTTTAGCATCACTTGACTCCCCAAAAGTAAATTGTTTTTTAGGATAATAATAATCACCTTTATTGGCCAAGTATGTTACACACAAGGAATTTGTTTCCAGTACAGAACTGATGGCAGCCATCTGCAGCGCCACCTCAACCGATGGCTCTAACCATTGGGGGCAACGGGGGGGTTCAGTGTCTTGCCCAAGGACACTTTGACATGTGGATTGCCGGCACTGAGATTCAAACCTTCAACCTTCTGGTTGGGAGACGACTGCTCTACCACCACACCACTGTTACCTCCCTTTTAGTAGATCTTTCTGTCTTTGTTTACAGAACAGTAGGGGGTTAAAACTGTCAGATTGAGTCTCGTTATTAAAGGTGCATTCACTAAGATTTTACCAAATTGTCTGATTAATCAAGTTTAAATGGGATAGGACATCTCAGCTATACTACGCCCCTACATAACACTCTGTTGCCTACAGTGCTTCTGTTGTTATTTCATCTTTTCTAAACTGTTTTCAAAACACAGTCTGCAAACTAGCCCCACCTGCCACCTAGTGAAGGTTGTAAGAAGTGTTTTTGAACCATGGGTAGTCATTTTGCACACTGAGCCAAGGTAGGAACTCTCATCAGTCAAAAGTCCAAAACAGCGCCTATCAGACCGAAGAAGGTGCGTTTTCTGTGCATGGAGAGAGTGGGACAAATTAACAGCAAAAATGAGGGTTAACATCTGTTTGGTTATTGGAGATATCAAGAGTTAAAAGGAGCCACAGGTCTCAGATTCAGACATGGTGTTCTCCCTTCTGGATGTGTTGGCATCTAAAGCCAATGTGTTTGTTTTGGTAACTTTAGCAACCTAGCAAGGTCATATTTTACCTTTGTATTGAACTAATAATTTTAAGTGTGCAGTAATTCGAGCTTTGTGCAGTGTTAGTGCTCTTTGTGTCCCATTAGCAGTAACCAGGGTGTTCTACTGACAGATTTACTCATTATTCAGGTAATGCTAGGTTCAGACTAGAGGCTGCTTTTAATGCACAGTTTGTTGCAACCAGACATCCAATGCTTGCGTTGTTGCAGGACATGCACAGAGGTTATGGTGTCAGTTTGTTTTGAATTTCACTAGACCCTCTAATGGGGGGGGATTCTTTCATGCAAATTCAACATTTTCTCAAACTTTCTGAAAATCTGGGAGAAAAGCAGCAAAGGAAAAGAAAAGGGAATGAAAATAAATTGTAACTGTGCTAACAGTTTTGAATCTTTTGGCTTCTTCTTACCTGTATCTTGTTGCCCCCTTACTCACCCGCCACCCTCCATCTTTAGGTTTCTGCTGCCCGAGAGGAGGTGCCTGGCCGTCGAGGCGTTGCTGTCCAGTGTTCTGTTTTCTGTCCTTAAATTCCTAACTCTCTCCAAGTCATTGTTTGAATTACTGCAGTAGGCATGTGAAATGGACAGAGCAGACATTTTTGATGCCTGCAGTTACCATAGCAACACGTATGAAGAGCCTACTCCTATCTAGTTGAACAGAAGTCCCCCATTACAGCATTGCAGGGAGGTGATTGTGTCGGCTTTTACTAAACACTGCTGGTGTTCCAAAGGGCTCTCGGGCTCCTGATTTAGAGTAAAGGTCTTTAAACCGGGAAGCTTACACAAATTTCTCTTCTATGTGTGACATTTGTTTTAATGCCTGCAAATCAGTTAGGGATTTGAATAGTGCCTCAATCACTGATTGTAAGCTCAACCAAGGCACTATATGTAGCGTTTATATTAATTGTAGTGCAGTGTTTAAATGCAAGAAAGAGACAAGATTTGTTTGATATGTTGTGATTAAATAATTACTGTGTCTAACAGACATCACTCATCCCATTCCTGATCTGACTGGATACATCACAGAGGGCCAGGTCTACGTTGATAGACAGCTGCACAACAGACAGGTATTCATCAGTCCTTTTCTGAAGCCATTTCTTTGCAGCAACATTGTCACACTTGGGGAACTAAGAACGGGTTGACATTCTCGGGTTACCTGGTCCCAGTGTTACAGTAGCTTTTATTCAAAATTGCTACATGCTGTGCTGGTTATTCCATGTGCCTTCACATAAACACTGCAAGTCAAAAGTTTGGACACACTTAAATATATATTGCATATACAAGCTTCACTGCAGAGTCTAGAGCTGTCAAATGCAAGCATCTGTGGTTATGGTCATTTAACAAGGGGAAAATGTTTTCCCACTTGGGCGCTACCAAATAGCCCAGTCAACATTCAAATCAAAGCCATCCCCAAAGAAGACAAAGTTAAACCACCTCTGGCCAGCTGTTGGGTAAGCATTGTGCCTGAAAAACAAGAGGGCCACTGTCCATCATGCATACAAGACTGGAATTAAATATGCTTAAGCTTCTGCATCATCAGAGTATTTATTTAAACCCCTCTCATATCAAATGTGCATGTGTTTACTTTATTTACGCAGGTGGTGCGATACATAGTGCTACCAATGGTGTTACACTGTTCCACTGATCAGCAGGTGGTGGTAACCTGCCCGATAGTGTGGCAGTTCTGATTTTCAAGACTCTTGACTCAACTTGGACTTGTGCACTGTTGACTTGGACTCAGACTCAAGCATTTTGCGTTCAGACTTGGAAGTTGGAGACAAAGACTTTTTTCTTTCCTTTAAATATGTGAAACAGAAGATTCATTTTTGACGCAGGGTAAAGGACTGAAAGTTCATGAGCTTATACCTCGTTGGATAAAACTTTTGATAAAGTGAAATCCATTGATCATAATGAACTTTTGGCTGTTAAATTTGACGAGATGAGAAACACATAGGCCTATTACTTTTATATCAACATGCAGCCCTATTTTTCAATTTGTCAAAAACATTGGCATATATTGGCATTTGATCCTAGTATTGGAAAATCTGAGATTTCACCCAGGTTTCAGAAGCCACAGGACTTTGTCTTGTGCACTATTTAACTTTTCATAATCTTTCTTTAATTATGCCATAGATTGTTAGCTACACCATTCTATAATTATTGGTCCTCATTTAAAATACCAGCAGAGAGTGAAAGGAAACTCAGAATGCAGTCCTCTGGGAGAGCTTATCTTTTTATTTATTTATATGTATGACAAAGTTAATATGAATCTATATAGACTCTGCACTAAGATTTGGACTAAGAAAAAGCTGTTTCTGTAACTACATTGTTCTTTATAGCAATACTAAAAGAGTGATTAGCAGTTCACATTGTACCTTGATAATCTAATCAGTTTTTACTTGCTTTTCAGATCTACCCACCCATCAATGTGCTGCCCTCACTGTCCCGTCTGATGAAGTCCGCTATCGGTGAGGGGATGACCAGGAAGGACCATGCTGATGTCTCTAACCAGCTGGTAACAAAGCCTAACTATTGTAGCTAAATAACATCTGGACATAAGCTTGTGTCACACACAGTTTGTTTTGTAGTCCATGGGGACTTTACATTGACTTACATGCATTTCCTGTAGACTAACCTTAACCAGAACCACTACTTACTGAACTCTGTTGCCTTTGGCAACAGAGTTCCCCTAACCCAACCTTAACCTAACCCTAACCTCATCCTAACCCTAAACCATGTTGCCACCCTAAAATTCAATTTCTTGCCCATGGGGACCTCAATTTAGGTCCCCACCGTGAAATGGGTCCTCATGAGTTGGTATGGAGTCAGGAAGAAGTCCCCACGTAGCAGGAAATACACGTGTGCACACACACACACACACACACACACACACACACATTGAAAAGTCTCTTGCTAAATAATAAATCAGGTGGTTTTTGTACAATTGACATTCACATTTGTACAGTGTATATAAAGTATATACAAGACAATGCTGGAGTCGGTAGCACTTTTTTATGATCTAACAAAGTGAGTCACACTCAAAGAAAAATATCTTTTTTTTTTTTTTAGTAACCCCTAGGCCGGTTAAACTTTTTCGGTATCTTACCCCCTCCCCATCCCACTGCTTGGCGTACCACAACGAGGAGAAGAAGATGCCAAACTACACTCGGACAAGTCACACGAAGGCGGGATTTGTGCTTTGGTGGAGGTGTTTTTCAAACATTGTGGTCTACTTTTGTTGATGACCAAATTACAAACTGACTACATGACCGTGTCATGTCCCGCATCCTACGTGCTGCACCCAAGTGCGTCCCCCTGCACTAAACCAAACAGGAGTATTTCGAATAGGCGAGAGCACATCTGACACAGATTACCTCCTGTTGTGTGCTACATGTGTGAAAGGGAAACGCTCGACCAAGTCCGGACCTGATTCTGTAATATTTGAGTCATATGAACTTAAGTTTCTTTTTTTTTTTATTAATTCTTTATTCCTTACTTATATGTATCACTATTGCATTGATGACTGTTAGAACTGCTTAGTATCTCCTGTTTGTCTGCTAAAGAATGTGTATGCAGGATGTCTGCCCTTTGAAGATAACCAGATGTTTGTGTTTCTGTTAGCTACCACCTGACATTACAACATTCACACACTGTTTGATTTGCACATTTGGTTGGCCTGCTCACTCCTATGGCCAATAGCGTTAGTACGTGTAAGTCCAAGCCTGGTCTGGGGCGGTTCCCGCCCACGAAGATAAATGGGACTACAGTCAGTGGTCTGACGTTCTTTGATGGACTTCCTGCGGAAGTTCTGTTGCTCTGAGCCCAGCGCTGCAAGGCTTGACATGTGACCAGGCTTCGATTAAATTTTCTGTTGATTTTTATACAGTCCTCTTCTGTCTTCACTTCTCGGGCTTTTAATTAAAGAACTGGGTCTAACAATTCCACGTGAACTGCTTGAGTAACCTAGTTACTTAGGCGCATTAGTTCTACTCATTTTCACTCCAAGTGCTCAGCAGCTCAGCCATGCACTTTTACCACAAGGAGGCTCTCACACACAGTCATCAGACTTTCCAACACTCACAGTGGTGAAGAAACCTTTTAAAAATTCCTGTGCCATACCCAACTTCTCCAAAAAATTTTATTCAAATCCATTACTTTTTGTGATCTGCTGTTACACAAACTAGCAGACACTGGTAAAAACATAACCTCCTTGGCAGAAGGAATCAAAACATAGACAAAGATAAATTATGCAGAGAGTCAGTTCTTTAACCTTCTTATGTACGGTCATCATTAGTCATATTAATTGCTCTTCTTGTCTCCAGTATGCCTGTTATGCCATTGGTAAGGACGTGCAGGCCATGAAGGCTGTGGTAGGAGAAGAGGCCCTCACCTCTGACGACTTGCTCTACCTTGAGTTCCTACAAAAGTTTGAGAAGAACTTCATTGCTCAAGGTGAGAGGATGCTAAAGGAAAAAATCCATACATTTTCAACCTTATTGCCATGTATATGACGGTGGTAGTACAGTATGTGTACAAAATTCACAGTGGTGTAGGTCCAAGCACTAGATGTCTCAAATGGTCTGGTTCCTGTTGCTTCTGCCTTTATACTATTATAAATGTAATGTCTTTGGCCTGTTGGTCAGACAAAGCATGAAGTTTCAATTAAGATATTGCAAAAGGAGCTTCTGTCACAGACCCCATGAATTTGCAATTTTATTATCAGAATTTGATCTTGTCAGTCCAGTATTAGTTGGTAGTTTTTTTTTTTGTTGTTTTTTGTTTTTTATCCCATTCATGTGTGTGGGGAGCCAACAGGAAGTCAACCGGCTTGGCACTAGTGCCCATGCTCTGTGGGTCTAAAAACCATAAAGCCTGCAGCACTTCTGGGCGGTTTTAAAATTTTCAGAGCATGCAACACTGAGCAACTTCCATAGGAATGAATTTGGTGCCGCCTTTCGGCATCCAGTTCTCTTTCAGAGACTGTAATTTCTCACATCAAGGTTGACGGGACTCTTTTGACTCAATGCAGGTAATACATCCAGCTATCATCTGTGTTCCTTAAAGCAACTCTAGCTAATCTTTCACCCTCAAACTCTTGACCATTAGAGAGCGACTGAGAATCAAAACAAACTCAGGCAGTATCCCCTCCTCTGGTCCTTCTGCTTTTCCTTGCCCCTCCTGCCCTGTCTGTGAACCTACATCATATCTGGTAACTACAGCTGGTGACAGATTTGACTTTCAGCAGTAACATTATGTTACATATGGAATATAGCCCATAGAGCTCGTGGTTTTTGGTGGCTTTACAGCGACCTGGGTCCTTTGTCCCTACATACTTGACACACAATGTTATAAGGTAAATCATGCGTTATAGGCGAAACAAGAGAAATTACGTTACTCTTTGATAGTTGAACAAACTCCCCACTTTTCTAGTCGTGTTGATGGTGTAACTTTTAACAGCGCTAAAATGCTACATGGACCGCAGTGTTATGTCCAACATAAACTATGTGGCCTGGACCAAAACTGAGCAAAAATTAGCAAACTGAGAAAAATTACTTAATTTGCTAATCCAGGAAAATGTGCTGGTTTCTGCTAATTGGACAAAAAAACACTAAGCACGGAGACAACACTTCGAGAAAATTTTTTACTTGATTTATCCAAATTTGTGCAAAATCTTAGTTAATGCAGCTTTAACCTGCACATAACCTTATTGTGCATGTTGTTGTACATTAGTTCAGTTTCCACAAAGCAGACGTTTACATATCATGCACACCAAACTGAACCACTTACAACCAGTAACCACTACATGCACTTAACATTTAGTGCATGCACTATGTTGCATGTTTACTCAGAAAAGGTAAAAATGCAAAGGCCTATCTTTGTATTTTAAGAATCTATATTGGATTTTCAATTTTCAGTTACCGTAATCAGGAAATGGATATTCTTGCCATTGTCAAGTCTCGACAGCCTTTTTTTTTTTTGTGTGTGCAGCCAAGCAAAGCTGAAAATGTTTTTGCACTACATTTATGTTGCTTTGCTCTTACATATTAACTTTTAATACCTAGGGTAGGTGCTTTTTATTGCAGACACTACATACTGTGTGAATTGCTGTAGTTGCTATTTAAAGTAAAACCAGAGGTCTTCACATGTTTGTTTAATAGAAATAAGATCAGAATACATGTGGTGGTCTGAAATAAAAGGGAAACTAAGCAACAGTTGTGGCATGCTTCAGGGTGAGTATTTCTGCTCATCTATTACAGTATTTTGCTTTGAAAATGGTAGTTGACATTGGCATTCACATTGTATTGTAAGATGACACTTCTGCTCTGGAAAATATTGATCTGTGAAGGTTCCTCTTTTTGCCTAGACATACTTGACCATTCTTCCTATTTCTGAGATAAGTGACTAAACAAAGCGCACGGTTAACATTGTACATACAGAGCTATATTTCCTCTTTTGAGCATTGGTCAATTCCAAAGGAGTCATTGTCAGTCATCACAGCTCAACGAGATGAGCATTTTGTAGCCTTTTTTCCATTCAACTCCAACAGTAATACCTCCAATTAGAAACAGATCTGCATCCAGAGCAACCAAAGTACCTTAGGTCAGAGATGATTAAATAATTATTTTGGAGTTTATCACAAGGGCAAGGGCTCTAAAAACCTTCGTTTTGGTCAGGTTAAATTTAGACCACTACTGCTGTTTTGCTTCAGTTCAGTTGATTTAAATGAACTTCTGCTAAATGCATGCTAAGCACAGAGCTGGAGTCAGGATGTGATTAGCCTAAGTTCCATTTTGTATTGGTTTTAAAGCAAAGCAACTTTATTTGTAAAGTACCTTTTGAACACAGTGGAACACAGTTTTGTAAGACTTTCAGACATCTTGCAGATGCCTGTAAAGCAATAGAGCACAAAAAGCCTTCTTTCACTACTGAACTTGAAATATAGTAATTTTTGAGGAGAGCACACTTTTGGAACCCCTCTCATACGCTTCTCCAAGATGAAACATACATGAGGAAATATGAATTATAGGACTCCCAAATTTAGGAACAAATCATTTGGGATTGGCTGCATTAGTCATGTTATACTGAGCCTGATGTGAGCCATTTAAAGAGGAAAAAAGAAAAAGAAAAGATGGTCGCTGAGGGAGGGAAGCAGTAGTAGCACAAACAGTGTGTATCACTGTCTGCCACTTTGTGATACTTCACTAGGGAGCACCAGTATTAGAAATGATCACATTGGCTTTAAAATGACTTGAATACAATGGTTAATACTGAGGCCATAATGTTTATATGCATCATGATTCTCTCTTCAGCCTACAGATTCCACGTCCTACACACAGCACTATAATTAAGATTTTGGCAGTTATTGAGGAGTTCTTGCTTGCCAGATGATAACCTGACCCAGACAGAAGAAAAAAATCTTAATCTTAAAATCTCAAATGATATCCTTGATCAGGAATTGACATCATGTCACAAAGAGCTGTAGACAATCACAGCAAAACCTTTTAGGATTAAAAGCAAACACAATGGACTGTGCATGTTGTGTTCTCTCAGTATTTGATAGTGGCACAACTACCTTGTGATGACTGACCTAAGCTGAATAAATAACTTAGACCTGGTTCAGACTACATAATTTTTGTTTTTTTTGTCTGATGCGATGGTCACTGTGTCAATCTTGGATGATTGATATGACAGACTACATGTTGGTACCCAACAGATTGTTCATGACTTGGAGCTGCCAAGGGCCAGGAGAATGTAAACTCAGTGACAGAATAGCCTCTGGTGTGCGTGCTATGCCCGGTTCAGACTACACAATTTAAACCTGATAGCAGCCTGACCCAACGGTCGTAGGGCATCGGCAACGACAAACAGCTTAAATCATGTGGTCTGAACTGATCATAAAAAAGTACAGTGGGTAACCTATTGTGGGCAACTACCTGTCATCTTTATAGGTGGTTGAGTGATGAGAGGTGGCTTTAAAGCTGCACTGTTTTTTTTTTTTTTATAAACAGTAGTTTACAGGACTGAAAAGTGGCCAATTGTAACGATAAATCTACAGTCAATTATCACCAACTCTGCATTTCCCCTGAGCTCTAATGAGCTTTTTTCTTATTTTAGCTTACTGTTTAGATTTTCCAGCCTGCAAAGCCTACCTTTTAATTTAAAATCATTTCAAGCAACAGGAGGCAGCTGTTTGCAGTGAAAAGCTCAGATAAACCCAATGTACATATCATTCCCAGCAGAGAGATGAAGTTAGCAACTGGCTGGTGAATATAGAGGACCATTATCGGGTAAAGAGCCAGATATTTTTCTCAGGAGTTGGTGGAGACCAAAACAGAGTTACAAAGAGACTGGATGTTGGATTTATATTCATCAGGTGGACACAAATTTAACTCCAGTGGGACGATAATGTTGCTCCTTGTCTGCTGCTTGTGTAAATAAGCACAAAATAAGGCATCACGTCCTTTATATGTGATGATATGCTGTGAACTCAAGTGACCAAAAAAATCATTTACTGCAACACTGAATTTCTTTGTGTATTTTTCCGTAAAGTCTAACTTTTTTTTTTTTTGGTTGATGATCTACAATAGAGAATGTGTGACAGGCCCAGCTGACATTATGTTTAGATGCTAACCAGCACCACTGTGTCCCCTCTGTCTCCCTCAGGCCCATATGACAACAGGACAGTGTATGAAACCTTGGACATTGGTTGGCAGCTGCTGCGAATTTTCCCCAAGGAGATGCTCAAGAGGATTCCCCAGAGCACCGTGGCTGAGTTTTACCCCAGGGAGTCTGCCGCCCGTCACTGAGGCACACTAAGGGATGCTCTGGTTCTAGCCCGCTCACTTCTCTACCCACAGTCCCTCCTCTCCCTTTATTCCTTTGTTTCATCTCACCCTAAACTTCCGGGGACTGTGAGACCAATGTTGTGGAGCCTTCACATATCCCAAACCTCAGCTCTTCTTTCTACACTGTTGGTATTACTATCAGTCCACTGCTTTCCCAGCTCACTGCAGCACCACCCCTACCCCCTTATGCCGAATTAGAACAGAGCAATAATTACCCCCTCCTATAGATGTACTGTAGTTGTGTATGGAAAGTGTATGTGGTTGTAATATCTACCTTTTATTTCAAAAACGTGAACATATCCTTAAAGTTATAGATCAACCCTTATATTTATTGGGGTGTGTTACTGCTGGATCTCCCTCTACTACTACTTTTTGTTAAAATAAATGCTATGTTATATTGCTATGATACATCCATAAATACAAGAGGTTTCCCACAGAGGAAAGACAAACCAGTGCCCTAAAACACAGTGGCCCTTCAGTCAGCACCACGTTCTGTAGGTCAAACTCATCAAGTTTGGTTTTTACTGAGAATGTGAGGTGTTGATTCAACTTGATCATTACTTTGTAAACTAAAAGGCACACTCTGAATGAATATTTACTGAACAATACACACTTCCATTTTCACAACCTAAATATCATAAATGGAATTTGAATAGGACATGCTGTACTTTTTCATGTTGGTGGCTTCAAGTTCAAATCATGTCACCATTCATAATGTCCCTTGTCCAGAACAGGCAGACTTGGTGCTCAAGCAGAGTTCAGGTGTTTACTGTATGATTTCCACAGTACTTTGACTCCTTACCTAATTGGGGCCCTCTTACTTCCTCTGTTTTCTGTGGAAAGAATACAGTGGATGATTTGTTTTGTTGTTTGATTTGTATTGCAAAAGATGACTAAGGAAAGTATATTGAACATTCCCATTTGTTCTTTGTTGCGCAACCATAATGATTTTGAGTTTGTGTCCATTAATAAATTAAATTATGTGAGAAATTTTGGCTCTTCTGGACTTAGTTAAACCTTACATGTGCAGCTCTGATGTAGTTCATGGGGTGAGTGTCGCCTTCCTCTGACATGACGGAGCTTGTTATCTCTGCTGCATAAGCTACATTTCTTTGCTAAATTTTCTTTGTACTTTTTTTTTGCAGCTCTCAGCCACATCTCACCGCCTCCATCAGCTGAGGCTTGCTTAGTTGTAACTGAGGACTCATTTGTCATCATCAAGACCTTGAGATGTGGCTGAAAGCTATGGTATATGACCAGCTCAAGCTTGTAGGCCTTGGGTTAAGATTGCTGTGTCAGTCTTTTACAAGAAAACAAATGAAATACTGTAAATATCCACGTTTTGGTAGACTATAACACTGTCTGGTCTCATCTGTCCAAGAGACAGAAACCAAGCTGTAGGCCTAGTATTTCTTACAAATACAGTACCTGCTATCTCAGAGCCTGTTTTTACCTTTCTGTACTGCCTCGCCTAAGCATTGGGATTTAAGTTTTGACCGTGTTGCACAATCAGAGGGCATTTTGTCTTTGCGGCGCTTGTAGGTCTCCCGCGAGGGGACGTCACCTGTGTTTCCTACTTTGCCAAAGGTGTGTCACGGTGAGCATTTCCTGATGAACCTCAGTTAACGACTTTTCGCTATGGCTGAAGAGGAGCTGGATAAAATGAATGCCGTTACAGACCTGTCAAGCCAAGGTAGGCGTTGCAACTTTTGGCACGAATGCACAGTTTTGGCTGTGGTGTTGGACCGTACAGCGCCATAGGTGCAGTCGGGTTTTCTCTGAAGGAAAGCCGGCGGAGAAAAGTTACACAAATCAAAAATATGTCTTTATAACTTGTAGAAGACGAGTGTACGTTTAAAGCGTATTTTGATAAAAGCAGATAGACTAAGCCGTTTGTGTGTCGTGAAGGACCTAAGCGTCCTGACAGCTGACTGGCGAAGGGAAAAGGCACCTTTCATAATGAAGCCTCTGTTGGAGCTTGAATTAACTTTGACAGAAACACAAACACGGGGATATTAACCAACTTCAACAGAATTTACTCTTACACACGCATTCTTCTCCATCTGCAAGGGGTTTTCTTATCATGGCCAAAGTCCACGTACAGTAGGACCCAGGGCCGGGTTAAAACGGCTAGTGCCCCAGGGCTCAAGAGCTGCTGGCCTCCCTAGCCCTAGTAGTATAATGAAATGAACCATGAACAAGACACAATGAATGAAAACATCAAAACAAAAAGACAAAATATTAAAAGTATAAAGATGGTTGAAATTGTACCCAGTCTTATACAGTTGCATGCAAAAGTTTGTATCTCTCTTACTTTGAAATGGCAAAAAGGTCAGGAAGTGTATAAGACAAAAGTTATAGTAAAATAATGAAAATTATATCAGTGTAAAACTTCGCCCATTCTACAGTACATGGCAAACTTGTTCCAAATCCACCAGATTTCTTGGTTGTCTGCTACGTACAGCCCTCTTCAGGCCAATCCACAGGTTTTCAGTGATACTTGGAGACTGGGAAGGCCATGGGAAAACATTCACCTTACTCTTTTTAAACCATTCCTGAGTTGACTTTGCTCTGTTCTTTGGATCATTGTCTTGTTGAAGGATCCACTGCTTCTTCATTTTTAGCTGTCTGACTGACAGTAGGAGGCTTTGCTTTGAATACAGCTCAATGTCAAAAGATTTTATTCTTCCTTCCACTTTATGCAGAGCTCTAGTGCCTGATGCAGACACACACACCACAAAACATCAGCGAGCCTCCACCATGTTTAACTGTGGGAGTGGTGTTCCTCTCCTCGTAGGCAGAGTTTCTCTCACCACATGTTCCTGTCCACATTATGATCAAATATTTCAACTTTGGTCTCATCAGACCACATAATCGTGCTCCTTAGCAAACTCCAAGCCTGCTGCCTTATGTCTAGTTGTAAGCAATTCAATTCAGTTTAATTCAGTTTTATTTCTGAATTAAACTAACAACAATCATTGTCTCAGGACACTTTATAAAGTCAGGTCTAGACCTTACTATTATTATTTTTATAGAGGAAAACCCAACAAATCCCCCTTGAATAGCACTTGGTGACAGCGGAGAGGAAAAACTCCCTTTAACGGGAGAAACCTCCGACAGACCCCGGCTCTTGGTGGGTGGCCTTCTGCCTCGACTGGTTGGGGTGAGTGGATAGAGGAGAGAGAAAAGAAGAAAAGCAACAAGACACAACAAACAATCAAACACTGGTCAGGTTGAAGTAGCCAGTTGCCTCTAAGGACTGTGTATTATTATTACTGTGTATAGTATTACTATTCTAAAGTAGAATTACAGCATTTGTGCGAATGTGCTTTGTCCCCACCACTTAATTCCACCTCATATTTACTGGAAGACCCATGACCAGTAATGCAGTTCATTGTGGAAACGAAGCATTGCAAAAGGTTGTGCAATTTCTTCCTGCTTTCACTTATTTTTTACTATGTAGAGGAAATGGACTGAACATGTTTTTGTCATTTGTCTGAGGATATACTCTACAGTAGAACCGTGGTTCCCAACCTGGAGTTCACGCCCCCTTATAAAGGCATCAAAGATTACTGGGGATGCACTAGGGACCGTCTGCACGGAGATTGTGACACTGTCAAAGTTATATGTGCATCTGTTAAATAAAATCATAATAGCACACTTACTGGTTAAATAACAGTCTGCATATAAAACTATTAATTGAATATTCCCCCATTTGGTCTCTCGTGCCTCTGTGCTCTGCTGCAGAAGGCTGGACTGCCGCTGTATGTCTATGCAAAGGACACAGCAGAATGGACCACAGGATTTTAGTCGGGCTGTGTGACAAAATCTTTCCCGCAGCCTTATAAAGAAGTATGGCCATGTTTATAAAATGTAGCCTTTCAGAACCAATCCGAAAACATCGTTTTCTTTCTCTGATTCACTGCTTTATTCTCGCTAACCCTGCTCGCTCTCTTCATTTGCACTCTGCCTCGCTCTACCATTGTTCACTCTCTTTCTCTTAAGCTGTGTGAAGGACCAAGCTGCCAGGCAAAAAGAGCCACAGATAGATTTTCAAAAAATGAGGGTTTTATTTAGTCAGAAAGAAGAAAATAATTATTTCCAAATTACTGACTAAAGTTCTGGATCCATAAATGATCTCAACACAATAGAAATAGTGTCAGGCATTAAACAAAAGGTAACTAAACAAACCAAACTGTCCTAACTGTCTGAAGACAAAAAGTACTTGTATACAGAATGATCAGGCCATTTTGAAACGAGGGATAATAAAGGCAAAAATAATTTATAATGCATGGAAAACAGCATCCTTAGTTTCATGTTTTGTAATTTCTGAATGTCACAGGTCATGGTTCGAGGCTGAATCTGATTACTGATTGATTACTGATTAACACAGACTGCTAATTGGAAAGACTTGCCTTTTTACAGCGGCCTGTTGTAACTGCATTAAAGAGTAGGCATTGTTACAATATAATATTACCTCTTCTGAGTTTGTCTTGTAGCAGTGTGGGGTTCTTCCAGGTACCTAAAGGAGTCATATTTGCTAGAATAAACAGAAATCCATTAAAGTAGAGCCCTTATTATAGTAGAAAACTGGTAAAACCTTCCTTATATCTCTGTAAGGCACAGTCCTACCTGTAAAACAGACTTCCAGTATGCATGACACAAACCCTTGTTTTTCTATGGTTTTGGTTGCTAGCTGTACTTAACACACCTGATCTTGGCTGTGACCAGTCATAATATCTGTTAATACAAATGTATCCACAGTTCCCCTTTCTATTGTGGTAGCACCCAAAGCAAATATTCGCACAGTCAGTGTTACTATATTCAAGATCTTCATCAGGTGACATAGGACACATGCCACAGTAGTCATTTGATGACTAGTTATCACATGCTGGACAAGTTTCCATTTTATTTTTTATGGGACGATGTGATTACTGTGCTCCGCACTGACATTTTCTTTGTTGATGGACATGGCTTACTGGCATCCATTGCTCCCCACAGCCCTACGGGAGTATGAAGGCCTGCAGAGGAAGCACGAGACAGCAACCAAGGAGGTAAGTCTTTCATATTTGTCAAGTTAGAATGATGCATATTGCATGTAGAGTTAGTCCAGTCCTGACTATCACTGATATGATGAACGCCCTGTAGTTTAGCTATGGTAGCAGCAGTCTGTAGTAGTAGTACCACCAGTGGGGTTAATGTGTAGTTACATTAAAAGTAGTAGTTGACTTAGCAATAGGAATAACTGTATTTACTGAAGGGGAAGCAGAAATAGTTGTAATGGCAGCAGTAGCTTGATGATTCTTTGTCTAGGTATTGTTTTGGAAAGAGACTGTCCACAAGAGAAATATCATCACTTATTGCTTGTTGAAATGCCTGAACAACTGGTAATATCAGTTGTTCAGGCTTGTTGAAATGCCTGAACAACTGGTGTTTATGTTAACCTGACAACAACCTCTAGCAGACATGTGGAAGTAGTGCGACACCGTTATTACGGTGAAATGTATGGGTCAGCAAAGTGGCTTTGGTGTGGGAGACCACTGCTTGCTTCTCCTACCAGTAGTCTGGGCTGTTTTTGTGCCTGATTCTGAACCAACCATAGCTGCAGAAAACAGCCAGTGAACAGTGTTATTCCTACTGTTAGTTGTAATGTTACAAAAGGCACCGACCAGCAGTGCTGTCGTAAACACTCATACCGTATGGGTCATTTTGGAAGGCTGCGGCAAACAACCTATTTTGATATTTAGTTTGGAGGATTTGTTTATGTCTCAGAAAAGATCAGACATTTAGATGAGTTTTAGAAGTAAAGGAGCGGAAAACTCCCCAAAAGGTACAATTTTAATAATTGTCCAAAAACTAATCAGAAGTAACTAGTACTGGTATCAGCCTTCAGAAACCCAAATGAGATGACCAGAGTTAGGTCTGGGTAATGAAGCCCCGTTTCTTCTGAACACTGACTAGCACCACTTTCATAAAGTCAAGTACCTCAAGTAGGCATCAAATGTCTGGTCAGATTTTTACTCTTCCTTCCTTGCTGTTTGATTAAACATTTGTTCTTTGAAATCATAGACTCTTATAATGAAGAGAATTAATTTTGTTAACACCTATACATTAATTAGTGTGGTGTAAAAACATTGTGTTTGTATCGGTACTGAAACCAAAGTATTTGATTCAAGATTTGAGATTTTTATTTTCCATTTATGCATAGACAGACAGTCTAGGCATGTAGGAATTCTTGTGCAGCTCTCCTTTGGAGTCAGGTAAGGAGTCAAAAGCCAAACAGAACGCTTAGTCTTAAAATAAAAAAGTTACATAAAGGCAACAAAGCATTAAAACCACAATACACCAATACACAAAAATAGAGTAATAGTATTTCCCTAAATAAATAAATAGTATTTAGTGAGGATACTCTCTACCAGTCCTCTATAAGCCTGGGTAAGACGGTGACAGTTCAGCCCAGCTTTTCTCAGCCGCCTGATGAAGTATAGCCACTGCTGGGCTTTCTTCACTGTGGCAGCTGTGTTCAGTGACCATCGAATGTCGTTCACCAAGCTTCTGTAACCCAACTCGTCCCCTCCCATAATGAGGCCCAGAATGGTGGTGTCATCAGCATATTTAATGATGATGGTGTTGTCATGGCTGGAGACACAGTCGTGGGTGTACAGGGTGAAGAGTTTGGGGCTGAGACAGCAGCCCTGCAGTGAGCCTGTGCTGATTGTGAGCTCAGCAGACACCCGCCCTCTCATTCTGACCACCTGTGGTCTTTCAGTCAGGAAGTCCAGAATCCAGTTACAGGTGGGAGTTGGGACACCGAGGTCTGTCATGTTCACAATCAGCCTGCCCGGGCAAATGGTGTTGAATGCACAACTGCAATCCAGGAAGAGCATCCTAGCATACATACTGCTGTTGTCCAGGTGTTTCAGGGTATGGAATAAAACCAGAGCCGTCGCATCGTCCACTGATCTGTTGGGATGGTAGGCAAACTGGAGGGGGTCTACAGCAGTTGCACTTGTATTGAAAATGTTCTAACAACACCCTGCCTGAACCCTGCTGTTCATATCCTTTGTTAAGGTGTAAAGATTCAAAGCACTTAGTCTGCTGTGTGTCATCTTATAATCCTTTATCACAGCAAAGTGCCGTATCTCGTGCTTTCACTGCCCAATGGGCAGTGCAACAGTGTGCAACAGTCACCAAATGAAAGATCGTTTTGTCTTTATTTAATTCTAGCTATTTTATATTTATTCATCTATTTTTAATCTATAATTTTATATAGTACTATGACTATATGAGATGTGTACCACAGCATTCTGTGTGTTGATTATTGCACCATCTGAGAAGCTGCCAACCAAATTTAGTTGTAATTATACAAAGACAATAAAGTCTCTCTCTTCTACTTCCATTGAATTCATCAAATTTCTATTTAACAATTGACCTTTTGTAATGAGAGTAGGACTGTATAAACTATAAACACGGAAAAACAACTTTACCAAATAATGGTTAATGATAAGTAATGGTAACAGCAGAGACACTATGGTAATGTTAATGTTCATGAATGGGGAATATAGACCTGGACTGTGGAAAGCATGTGGTCACTATTAAAAGATATTATTAAAATCTACAGTTTATTCATTACACAAAGTTGCTAACAGAGAATGTTTTCCACTCGTCCACACTGGTTCATTTTGAATCTGAGACTATGGCCAAATAAAGCTGCACAGCCCCAGATGTGTCATGTAGTCTCATAAACAGTGACATTTAGAATATCTGTGGAAATTAACTTTTTCACCATGTATTTATGACTGTACAGAGGGGTCTAGTTTTCTGGTTAATCCATGCATATTTTATATGAAACCTCAGGCTCATTGTGGGAACAGTATTTATATTTTTTCACCTGTCCTTCAGATCTGTAAGTAATTTCTCTTTCAGTACAATGTAAGACATTTTCATCAAATTAAGGTAATTGCTTTTCCAGGCAGTCTCTGAGTTATAATGTTGCACCGGCAGGCTGGATAAAGGCTGATTAAAACAGCAGTGATCCTGTGTTAAAGATGCTCTGTCTGTCTCTCTTACATAAGTGCAAGAGGCTGGAGGAGGAGAGAGACCAGGCTATGAAGAAGCTCAGTGAGTTCCAGCAAGGTATGTTTCTGCCATCTGGGTCAATGTATGTCCTGAAAATTAGATTAGGACAGAAACAATCTTTAACTCATGGAAACATGGATAACAGAGTGAGTTTAAGACAGGTGACAGTCAAAATATCAATAGCATCATCTTTGATTCAAGGAGGGCCATGACATTCATACCTTTAGATATCCCTACATGGTAGGTAATTATCACGCGGTCATGTTCACCAGCTGGCTCCTCTACATTTGTAAAACGTGTCTTTGTATCATAGCTGTAACATTTTAACTGTTTTACAAATTCTTCCAAGGTGGCTCACTAGCAAATTCCTTGAAAACCATAAAGTGGCAGTTTATTTGCTGAAATCTGTACATTGTCCAACATATTTTTGTTAAAAGGTTACTCCACTCATTCTACATTACAAAATCAGTTTACTAGCCACATGGAGTAGTACTGGAAAAAAAAAAATAAGAAAAAGATATATATACTGGTGCGTTATAATTTTGTTATACATGACACAAAGAGCATTTTCTCTCTTTTCAAATGTTTATTTTTAAAAATCTAATATCAAAGCATTCAGCCTAGCGAGGCTGGAAGTTTTTATCAGCCCTCTTGTAACAGTAAAATATTTAGTAGAAGATGTGTTTTCACGCATTCGGTCATCTCTGTGTGGTTTGAATGTCAGCATATGATTGTCATCATATGCAGTGACACAAGGATATTTAGGAACATACAGTGCCTTCTGTGGCATGTGTATCAGACTCGAGACATCTCCCTACCAGTAATACCTAGAAGACCCGATCTGTGTCAGTGTATGCACTGATAAGAGAACAGTGTTCTGTTGTAATAAAAGTATGTTTTGAAAACAACAGCTGTACAAATTTGTGAACCAGGACCCAGATAATTGGTAAAGCACTGTCACAGCTCCTGCTTTTATCATGAGTCTGTTTCCTAACACTACGAATATGTTTCAAATGTTTTGATCCATCATTTCATTTTCCAAAATGATTCTCCATACAGGTTGAATGCTTTGCTATGACTGTTAGTGAAGGCAGAATTTGTCACTGGGCACCACATGTCAAAAGATGGAGCAAATGGTTCGCCTTTGTAACGGTGACAGTTGTGTGGATTTTTACATGTATAAATCTGGCCATACTCATGTATTCAGCAATTCCCCAGCCAAAACACATACTGTGTTTGACTTCCGCGTTAATAGAGGCTGCCACACTGTGCCAAGCAGCTGCATATTAGGACCTATTACGTGATTTCATAGCTCTTAGAAAATTGCTTCTATTCACAACGAAACAGCTGGGGGTGGGGCGGCAGGGTTGTTGGGTGGTGCGGGTTGGGGGGTAGTGGGAGGACAGGAGAAAAAGCCCCCAACCCACAATCATGCCTTTTCAATTGGATGGCAAGGTTGATGACAACATGACCATTGTGTTATAATGATAACACCACAAAGGCATCTGCCCCCCTCATCAAGGCTTCACAGTGGCTGCAGATACAATTTAATTCACTGCTCCGTTGGCGGTGCTGATACCATTATGCAGCACGTCGGCGCAGGGGTAATCACTGTCTTTCCTGAGAGGAGGATGAAAAAAGACAGGCAACAAAAAGAAGGGAGAAAAAGATGGAGTGATGATGATGGGGAGGCCGAAACTTACAATTAAGACTGCCAATTCTGACGTGTCGGAGCCCCCTGTTGACTTGTGCTCATACACTTTCAGCACTTCCACCACTGTTTATTTACCATGGCTACCAGTAATTATAATTAACATGTCATTTAGTTCAAGGCGTCCTTTCATAGGTTGTTGAGAGTGGCCATGGCATTATAGAGACAGGCAGAGAGAAACAGAGAAGAGGCAGAGGATGAAAACCAGCAGCTAAGTGCTACTGAATGACTGATGTGGAGGGCGCCGGAGGAACGTGGATATCGCCCAGTCCTGGTGTTCATCAAGTTCTTAATTAGGTGTCACTGGGGGGAAGGAATTGCCCACTGCAATGGCACTAATGCTTAATTTCTCCCTCACTCAAACACAATGCTTAATTAGTTAAGTGGCAGGCCATTCTTTAAGGGTGTCCCTTTGTACTGAGGTGTGATTGCAGCCTAATCATTATGGTTTATGATGTGGAATTTTACCTGATTTTTTTCCAACTATCATAGCTTTACTTAAAGCTGCACTAATCAATATTTCTCATATTTACAATGGATCAAATGGCTGTGTAATGTGAACGGTGTCGCTCATAAGTGATTTTAAGAATAGAAAACCCAAATGCAGACAACAGGGGAGAAGGTCCTAGTGAAGCGGAATTTAATAATTAGTAGTAACAAAGCACTGTGACAGAAACCAAGAGAAACAAAGAGAACTAACTTGGGCTTGGGCAAAAGTTACTTCAGGCTGTCACTAAATACAGTATATCTGGAAGAACCAATGCAGGCAGAGCTCTCAGGCTAACACACAGAAAACAAAACAAGGTTCTCCGGAACATAAGTCTTTAATACAGTACATGTCCAACCAAAAACCCAGGAACTGACAGGATTGCAAATCACGCAAAATCAAATAAGTTTCCTAATGGGTAAAAAGAATAACACTCCATCAAGTTACAAACAATGGGTAAGTGAGTGAGCTACCGTAATAGGGAGGCTGCGCAAAGTTTCGCTATGATGAGCAAACAATAGCCTTACACAAAGAACAGGACTCCAAACATAAAACATGAGGTGCAAGAAACTGGAAACAAAACTGCTGACAAGAAAACTTGAATGAACAGAAGTGCACAAAACACTCAGAAAACCTAAATGTGACCAGTGGCGGTACACAAAACAAAGAAGCTGCATGGATCCATGGACATGAATGTAGGACTGGGGCACAGGTGAGGCGCAACTTCACACTTAAGTGTGGAGCAGCTTTATCTTATGTGGGCGGGACTAAAGCAAGGAAAAGACGCAAGAGAGGAAAACAGTGTTTATCAGAGACTTAGCGTACATCTCATGTCTCTAATAAGATAGTTCCTACATCCGCATTCCTTGGTTGGAAGTTGTTCCACTTGACTGAGAACATAGGATGTTCCAAGTCTCTTGTATTGATTCTGAGGCCTGAGGAGCAAGGGCTGATGACAGTGATGGAGGAGCCATGACCGAGGATACACGAGACCATCCATCGCAGAATTTCTTTTGTGAACCAACACCCCTTTATCAGAAATAAGTTGGTGATGCTTCAGATGAAGGATCGGAGGAAAGAACATCTCATGTCCTTAATAATAATATGTTTCCTCAAATCCTTTCTCCTCACATTTTCCTTGTATGTTTTGTAAATTAAGACAAGAGGGTCATTTATTTAGCAATATTGGTAGCAGAGGATGGTTAGCAGTTATAGAGCTCCACCAACTTTTGACAAGGGAGAAGCCCCACAAAAGTTGGAAGAATGAAGTTTGAACCAGAGTTACAGAACTTGAAGAAAGTAAAGAGGCTCTGGCTATAGCTTTGGTGCTGCTGGGGAGAGCAAGAGAAATGGCGATGGAAATACCAGTAGATATGAACACCTTGTTAACAAAACTTGATGATTTGTTTCTTCAGGAAGAAAAGGACAGCACTTATAAAGCATATTCTAGCTTTGACTGGATCATGAGAGACAGTAGTGTGTCAGTGGCTGACTACATAATTGATTTTGAACAACTCATGGATGCGAAAGTACAGGATTGAAGTCCCCGATGCAGGGTTAGATTTCAAACTGCTAGATACTGCATGTTTGGATGTGACAGACTGACAGCTTTGATGGCTTGTGCAGATTTAACCTTTACATTGATGAAGTCAGCACTGAAGCTGAACTTTGGAGGGAGAACATCTGCTTAAACCATTGGGAATTAACCAGAAACCTGCTTATAAAAAGTAGCAAAAGCAACAGAGAGTCAAGTCATGGCCCCAGTATGCTCAACAAAAAGCACCATTTCCTGGCACAAATCCACTGGACCGGTACAGTTGCAGATCAAAATGTGCTATATGTCAAAGTACACTGGGCTAAGGACTGCCCCACAGAGGTGAGCAAATCAAACTGACTAAAGAAAGTAAAACAGATGATGTAGAGGAGTGTAACATTAATCCGTACACTAAAGAGTCACCCACTGAAGCAGAAATCTTTATGACAAAGTGATTTGGCTTAACACCCCAAATCAAAAAAAATTGGGACAGTATGTAAAATAAAACTTAAAACTGAAAATAGTGATTTTTAAATCATCTGTGTGCTGTATTACACTGAAAACATTAGAGCAGCACATTATTTGATGTGATACCATCAATTTTTTTTTGTCACTTCAATCCTGATGCTGCAACACATTCCAAACGAAGTTGGGTTGGTTACATTTCAGGGCCAGTAACGAGGTAAAACAATGAAATGATGATCCCATTTGAAACAGGTGATGTCAACAGGTGACTGCATCATGATTTGGTACAACAGTGGCATCCAGGAAAGGCCGAGCCCTTTAGGAGCAAAGATGGGCCGAGGACCACCAGTTTGAAAACATATGTGTGAGAAAATTATTGAAATGTTTAAAAACAATGTTCCTCAAAGAAAGACAGGAAGGGATTTGGATCTGTCACCCTCTACGGTGCAGAACATCATTAAAAGATTCAAGGAATCTGGAGGGATTTCAGTGTGTAAAGGCCGAGGGCTGAGCCTAAGCTGGATGACTGAGCTCTCTGATCCCTCAGACGGCACCGCATCAAGAATCATCACTCTTCTATAAGTGATATAACCACATGGGCTCAGGATGACTTTGGCTCACCTGTGCCAAGCAGTACATCTGAGACGGACCATCACACAGTGGAAACGTGCACTGTGGTCAGACGAATTAATATTTCAGGTCTTGATGGAAGGAATGGACAGCGTGTGCTCTGGACCAAAAATGACAACGACCATCCAGACTGAAAAAGTTTGTACAAGTTTTTTCAGTTTACTATGACCTGGATGACTGAGAATCTGCACAGACCATCCAGACTGTTTACAGCAACAAGTCCAAAAGCC